TATTTTATGTGCTTTCAAGTTATAGGTTACGTGCTCCCTGAAATGAAAGATTAAAGTCTTAGTCCCATACGACCCTGAGCAAATCAGTGTTATCTTATAGTTGCTTCTTCATCTATAAAATTAGGAAAAGGCCATTTGCCAGACTTCATTCTACCTCAAAGACCTGCCACAGATTAAAATGAATAAAAAGTACATAAAGTACAACATATTCTTATTACCTAAATACAGTTTGAATTAGTACTTAACAACAGGAATGAGTCATTTTCCTAATCATCAAATGCATGAGTTTTCAAGGTAGTAAAGAGAATATGTGAATTAAATAAGTTAAAGTACGTGAAAGCATCCAGTCCAGAGCTTTCAGAGAAGGAACTAAATAACAACAGGCCCCTTTCCTTTGCTTCAACTCCACCCATTACCAGACCACATATTTAATGAACAAAAGAAATGAAAACATGAACCCAAGTCATGGCAAAGCTTCCTAAATTTCTCTCAAGCTCATGCATTGCCTGCATCCTATTACTTCCTCAGGTTAGATTTTCTTCTTTTTTTTCTTGCCATGTGGCATTCATCTAGGCATCGAGCTTCATATTGAAAAGAAGTAGTGTTTGAGTCTTGTCTTGTTTCTGATCTTGAAAGGCAAACTGAAAATTTCACTATTGTCCTAGCCGGTTTGCTCAGTGATTAGAGCACCAGCCCTCAGACCGAGGGGTTTTAGGGTTTGATTCCCAGTTAAGGGCACGTACCTGGGTTGCAGGTTTGATCCCTGGCCAAGGTCGGGGTCGTGCAGGAGGCAACCAATTGATGTCTCTCACATCAATGTTTCTCTCTCTCTCTCCCTCCCTCCCTTCCACTCTGCCTAGAAAATCAATGGAAAAGTATCCTTAGGTGAGGATTACCAAACAAACAAAATTTTACTATTAAACAAGATGTTTTATGGATTAAAACTTTTCGGATCCAAATTCTCTACTAGTTCTTTCTCATTTGCTAAGCAGTCCTAGTGTGAGTGAATGTTGACTTTTTATGTTTTCTTCTGTATCTACTGAAATATTTTTCTTTTTAATCTGTTAAAATCTATTTAACTTAGTAATGTGAATAATTATATTGATGAATTTCTCTAATGTCAAATCAATGATCTATATTTTTAGGATAAGCCCATCTAGATCATTTTTGCACACAGAGTGGGGCAAAAGTAGGTTTACAGCTGTTTGTATGGCAAATACAATAATTAATACCTAATATAAGAATAAACTCTCTCACATACTCACAATTGTAAACCTACTTCTGCCCCACCCTGTAATTTGTAGGATTTGCTAAAGTTTTGTTCAGGAACTTTATATCCATATTTTTAAGTAGCTTAAAGGAAAAGGTTTTCCTTTCTTGAGTTGCCTTTGTTGGGTTTTGGTATCAAGATGTACTAGCCTCAAAAAATGAGGAAGAGGTATCCCTCTTTTTCTGTTCTCCGGAAGTTTGTATGAAGCAGGAATTATTTATTCTCTTGAATCTTCTGGAGAAATCGCCAGTAAATCCACCTGTGCTTGAAATTTTCTTTTTTTAATTTTTTTTTCTTTACTGATTTTAGAGAGAGAGGAAGGGAGGGACAGAGAGAAATAGAAACATTGATGAGAGAGAACATCGATTGGCTGCCTCCTGCATGCCCCCCACTGGGGATCGGGTCCACAACCTGGGCATGTGCCCTGACCAGGAATCGAACTGGTAACCTCTTGGTGCATGGGTCGACGCTCAACCACTGAGCCACACCAGCCAGGCTGTGTTTGAAATTTTCTTTGTGGATTTTTTAATTACTGGTTTCATTGGTTTAATGTCTATAGGATTTTAAGGTTTTCCATTACTTCTTTTTTATTTATTTATTTATTTATTTATTTATTTATTTATTTATTTATTTAATTTATTTATTTATTTTTATCCTCACCCGAGGATATTTTTCCATTTTTTGTACAGATAGAGTGGGAGGGAGAGAGAGGAAGGGAGAGAGAGAGAGAGAAACATCGACGTGAAGGGACACATCGAGTGGCTGCCACCCGCACGACGAACTAGGGCCGGGGACAAACTGCAACCGAAGTATGTGCCCTTAGCGGGAACTGAACCCGGGTCTCTCCGGACCGCAGGCCGATGCTCTAACCGCTGAGCCAAACTGGCCAGGGATCCATTACTTCTTCAGTCAGTTTTGGTCAGGTTGTATTATTCTAGAAATTGACCCATTTCCACAAAATTCTCAAAACTTTGGTATAAAACTTCTCATATCTTCTGTTGATCTTTCTTATGTCGGTAGCTTCCCTAGTGCTGAACCCTTTCGTTCCTGGCATTGCTCACTTGGCACCCGTGCACCCGTGCTCTCTCCCCGACTCCTCCGTAATCAGTCTCCCAAAAGTTTTCAAATTTTATTAGTCTTTGAAAGAACAAACTATCAGCTTTATTTATCTTGTATTTTGTACTCCCCTCCGGCCCTGGCCTTAATCAAATTCTACTCTTTATTATTTTATATTTATGTTTTCTGTCATTGGGTTTAATTTATTAAACATTTTTTAACTATTTTTTTTTTTTTTATCCTCACCCGAGGATATTTTTCCATTTTTTGTACAGATAGAGTGGGAGGGAGAGAGAGGAAGGGAGAGAGAGAGAGAGAGACATCGACATGAAGGGACACATCAAGTGGCTGCCACCCACACGACCAACCAGGGCCGGGGACAAACTGCAGCCGAAGTACGTGCCTTTAGTGGGAACCGAACCCGGGTCTCTCCGGACCGCAGGCCGACGCTCTAACCGCTGAGCCAAACTGGCCAGGGCCATTTTTTAACTCTTTAAAATAGATGTTTGATCTTGGATTTTCAGCCTTTTGTTTTTTGGTTGTTGTTTTTCTCTAATATATGCATTGAGGTCTATAAATCCCCTTCTAAGCTTGGTTTTTAGTAGCATTATACAACTTATGATATATAGTATTTTCAGTATCATTTAGTTCCAACTATATTCCAATTTCCATGATGATGTTTTTCTTTGACTCAATGATTATTTACAAGTTTATTTCTTAATTTCTAAGAATACAGTGATTTTTATTTGTTATCTTTCTGTTATTGATTTCTAGCTTAACTCCACTATGATCAAAGAACTTATTCTGTATGCTATCTATCCTTGGAAACTTGAGACTTGTACATGTTCAAGTTACATGTTATTATACATGTTCTGTGGCTTCCTCTTCATTTACTTGATAAGTCTGAACTTTTTAATGTGGCTGTGTCATTATTTACCCACACCATGAGTGTCACACCCTCTTCTATACCTATGTGCCAGCCATGCTAGACCCAGTTTTCCAAACATGCCGCGCTTTCACACTTTGTGCCTTTGCCTACACTCTTCCCTTTGCCAGAAATGCCCCTTCTCTGCTCCTCCGTATCCGCTGCTCGCTCAGATACCCCCCACCCCCCACCCGGTGTAGCTCTCCAGGTATTCTCTCCAGCCCTGGATCTCCCCAGTTGGTGAAGTACTGCGGCAGCTGGTATCCCTACCTCCCATCATTCTGTTTCATCTATACTCCACTCTGCTGCCAGAGTTATCTTCCTAAAATGCAAATCCAACCACATTTCTTTCCTGCTCAAAATCCCTTCACCAGCAGCTTCCCTCTAGCACAAAGCCCAAACTCAGCGTTCCACAGGTCTTGTCTTCTGGCCTTTTCCAGGTCCCTACATGTTTACTTGTGGTATTTTCTCTGCTCAAAATGCTCTTCTCACCTTACTCATCCATCTTTGCTGGTCAGGCTTGAGAGCCACTTCCTCTAGGAAGCCTCTCCTATACCCACCCTCTAACACTGCACTTACAGGCCAAATGAACCACTCCTTGTATAACGGTAATGATCAAGGGGAGTGCGGGGAGAGCAAGTCCCTTAATTAATTTTTAATTATGGTATTTACTTTATTTTAAAATCTCAATTGAGGAAGAGTGTAAGATTTCAATGTTTTCACAGGAAAGTAGACTTTTTAAAAGGTTGATGAGCACTGGCCAGTTTGGCTCAGCGGTTAGAGTGTTGGCCCTTGGAACGAAGGGTCTCGGGTTTGATTCTGGTCAAGGGCACGTACCTGAGTTGCAGGTTCAATCCCTGGCCCCAGTCAGGGTTGTGCAGGAGGCAAGCAGTCAATGTGTTTCTCTTTCTCTCCCTCTCCTCCCCACCCCCCTTCACGCTCTCTAAAAAAAAAAAAAAAAAATCAATGAAAAAATATCCTTAGGTGAGGATTAACAAAAATAAATAAAAAATAAAATAAGAGGTTGGTGAGTACTGTATGCACAGCTATACATCCTCTGTCTTAGCATATATAACACCTAGAGCACTGACTATTTAAACATATCTTAATCAGACTATCATTTCCTCAAAAGTAGGAACTGAGGCTTATTTAATTTTGATCTTCAGTGACTAGTCCAGTTCTATCTTTTTTTCTTTTGTTTTGATTTTAGAGAGAGAGGAGAGAGAGGGAGAGAGAGAGAAACATCAATGAGAGAGAACATCGACCGGCTGCCTCCTGCACCCCCCCACTGGGGATCGGGCCCACAACCTGGGCGTGTGCCCTGACCGGGAATCGAACCGACGCTCCACCACGGAGCCACACCGGCGGGGCTACAGTTCTATCTTAATAAGTAAGATCAGATGGCTGTCAAATGAACTTCCCTGAGGAAATAAAGGACCATTTTAAATTCTAGGTCCTCAACTAGGAACCCCAGAAAAACCTCCTGTGTTCTGTTCGCTCTCCTTCACACACAAGGCCAGACCACTGCGCCCCCACCAGGCATTTCTTGTGAAGTGTCAGGACCTTCAACGGCCCGCTGCATCAAATCTGAGCTCGCAGGCCTGCCGCCAGGCCCTCCCTCTCGGCTGTCCCGCCCTCACCCCGCGCGGTCCCCGCACCCTCTCAGCAATCACACTTGCTGCTCTAGAGCGCCTTCCCCAGGCGCCCACATGCCCGCCCAGCCGTCAGGGTCCCCGCTTCGGGACCCACCTGTGTCTCAGGGGCTTCCTGGAGTCCCCTTCCTCTTCTGATCCCTGAGTCGCTGCACAGGCCCTGTCCTGGCCCCGGTTCCTCTGTGAGCCTCGGCGTGCACGACAAACGTCTCGGTCCGCCCTTCCCACGTGCCCCACACCGCCTAGTACAAAGCCGAGATGGAACCGTCTCCCAGCAGGAACGCCGCTGCTGACAGAAGTCACTGTCATCCCTGCCTCGGCCTCTCCCGGCCCAACGCCGGCTGCTTGGGTGGCATTCACGTGATCCCCGCGAGGCGCTTTCAGGGCTATTTACCCGAGTGTTTCTTTGTAATCCCACGTCATGGCCAACCCCGTGTCAGCGTGAGGGGGACCGCCCCCGTGTCAGCCGTGTCAGCGTGAGGGGGACCGCCTCCGTGTCAGCCGTGTCAGCGTGAGGGGGACCGCCCCCGTGTCAGCCATGTCAGCGTGAGGGGGACCACCCCCGCGTCAGCGTGAGGGGGACCGCCGCCGTGTCAGCGTGAGGGGGACCGCCCCCGCGTCAGCCGTGTCAGCGTGAGGAGGACCGCCTCCGTGTCAGCCGTGTCAGCGTGAGGGGGACCGCCTCCGTGTCAGCCGTGTCAGCGTGAGGGGGACCGCCTCCGTGTCAGCCGTGTCAGCGTGAGGGGGACCGCCGCCGTGTCAGCCGTGTCAGCGTGAGGGGGACCGCCCCCGCGTCAGCCGTGTCAGCGTGAGGGGGACCGCCGCCGTGTCAGCCGTGTCAGCGTGAGGGGGACCGCCGCCGTGTCAGCCGTGTCAGCGTGAGGGGGACCGCCGCCGTGTCAGCCGTGTCAGCGTGAGGGGGACCGCCCCCGCGTCAGCCGTGTCAGCATGAGGGGGACCACCTCGGTGTTAGCGTGAGGGGGACGTTCCTGCTGTGGCCGAGGGAACTTGTTTTCACAGCTCTATGACAGGGTCCGGGGATCTGCGATTTTCCTCTGGCCACTAAAAATAAATGCAACCCCCACCCCCACCCTGAACTTATTTTGCCTTTCCGGAGCTAAGAATTCTTAAATTTTCAGTTCTTTGATACTCTGTGCCAGCCCTTCTTTCTGGTGAAATTTTGCTTTCCTCAGGCTGTTAAAATACCCCCAGGTAAGAAAACCATAATATTATGATGGTAGCAATTTAAATACGTAACTTTGGGAAATTAAACAGTTCTGAAGGGTCTTTAGTTCAGTAATAATGATGAGATCCGGCCACCACGAGGGTATGAGAACACAACGCTGCAGCAGTGAGGTTGTGTGTCCTTCCTTCTCCTGACCACATGACTACCCCGGTAGGCCCGGCAGACAGCAGGACCCGGGACTGGGGTCTGTCCATGAACTGTGGGTGGCAGGACATGATCTGCAGGCCTGGCCCGGAAACCTGCATCTTCTCTAAGTTCTCGCCCGTCTCTCTTCTGGAAGCTGGATCGGAGGACCCAGGGCAGGACTCAAGGCCTTCCGAGCTGGCGGGGTTACCCGCTGGAAGGAATCTATGGCCCTGATGTATGAGGTGGAACTCCCTCCCTGACCCCTACAGACCTGCATGAGATTGTGACAGGAAAGAAAGAAACCTTCATTGTTTTAAGCCACTGAAATTCTGGGGTAGTCTGTAACAATTGAGTCCACCCTAACTGAAATGATATTATCCTGAATTCTTAAAGTTAAAAAATTATTCCTATGTATCACTTATAGCAACTCTGACTACAGCTACCTTTTGTTTCGCCATTCTATTGTTTCCTCTTTCAGGTGACCTGGGAACTGCTGGAAGAACCCCCGCTAGAAGGACCAGTCCCAGCTGCCGGGATCACTGTCAGCCCTCTTCAGGAAATGCCTTGGCTGCAGAGAGCTGTCTTGGCCCGAGCCATGCCCTTCCTGGGCAGCCTCCTCTGATGACTAGCCCAGGAGGAACTACAAAGGGACAGCCCCCCCACCCCAACTTAGAAGGACCATCCCAACCTCCTGTCCCTGTGGGGTTGGCTGACACCTTTATAGGGGCTGAGTCATAGTCCAACACTCCTCTGTACAATCATGCTTCCTTCTCCTCCCTTTCTGTTCGCTCCTCCAGGGTCGCTGATCCCCAAACCACTCCCTGGTAAGCTTTCCACACACTAATCTTTATCTCAGAGTCACTTCCCTATGATCCAACCGAGACAGGCACGGTGTCCTTGATGCAATATCATGTTGCCCAACTCTTCCTCAGTGCATGGCACAAACACCATATTTTCTAATAAAAAAGGAAAACACCCCAAATCACAGTGATATGGAAGCTTTAAAACTGAGACTCTCTAGAGAAATTCTGAATGTATTCTACTATTAACAGACTAATTCTTTGCAAGAAAATGAGACTACAACATTTTGAGAGGCCCTTTGAGATTGTCTGAAGAAAATATTATCACCTTGCTTGTAACCAAATAAAGAAATTATTAATTATATAACAAAGAGCCATGTAACAAAAATCACTGAGGCTCCATTACCCATCTGTGCTGGTATCTGGCATATTATAATTAGGGCAGTTACTTCGTGAGTGCTCACCACAACACAGCGTGAACAGCTTTACATGCGTTAGCGCGCTGAATCCTTTACTCATTCTGCGGGTGACAACTCAGGTTCACAGAGTGTAAATAAATTATCACCCAGTCCTGGAGCTGGAACTCAAAGCCAGGTAGGGTTTACTCCAAAGCCTCAACTCACTAGTATGTCTTGCATATTCTTGCATATTGCATATATGTCTTGCATATTTAAGCTCTGAAAGAGTTCAAGTATAACAATTAATTCACTAAGTAATTTGCAAGGGAGGGAGAGCAAAAGGCAGTATATGTGATTCCAAAATCTAGGTTCTCTCCTGTCGCCCACTATTGCTTCCACAGATGACAGACACAGGCCCGACCTTCTAGGCGCAAACAGTCTAATAAATAAATGAGTTAAAGAACAACCCCAAGACGATTTTGCCAGAAGGAAGATATCCAGCCCAAGCCTGTCCTGTGGCAATCAAAAGGTTCTTCTGCCCTCTTGTGGCTCACAAAGACTGCTACACATCAAAGCTCCATTAACAAGCTAAAATACCATATACAGCAGCTTGGCAGTCAGGCACAAAACAGCAGGAGGCCACTGTGATTGGCTCAAATTGGAGCAGATTTAATAACCTAAAATTTTGATTTTCCTACTCTTCTGTGCCTACAGAAAGCTCATAATAAGAATCATAGAATACTACAGCTCAGAGAAGAAAATCAGTCTTTTGCAATGATAATCAAGAATATGATAACCAGCTATATGCATTCAGAACAATAAAATTTAAAAAACATTCTAAGCACCAAACAAAACTCCTGATCCTTGCTTTTTACACATAATAATATATTTCAGAAAACTTACTCCACTCCATCAGCATATACAAAGCCTCCTCATTCTTCAGGTGCAGAGCATCCCACAGGATAGCTGAACTTAGCCTCTACTGGTGAACATGTCAGTTGCTTCCAAGCTCTTATTACTAAAAACAATTACCAACAAACAAACAAAAAATGCTGCAGTGGTACTCTTGTACACAGATCATTTTGCAAGTACGCTAAAATACCTGTCGATGAATTCCTAGAAGTGGAAATGCTGGGTCAAAGGGCACACACATGCCCTTGCATTTCTTCCTTTTTGAAACTCTTCTTCCTCTGACTTTCCCTCCAATCTCTCTGGCTGCTCAGGCTTCTTCCCATGCTTTCTTAAACATTTCAGAACCACTGTTAATTCAGGGTGGCTTTATAAGGACTGACCATATGTGGCTCACCCCTCAGTTGGTGGTTCTCGAGGATTTGGTCCTTGGCCCTCTTTCATCCTGTATCCTCTCCCCCAGTTATCAGTTTTCTTCCCTGAAGGCAACCAAAGTTATTATTTCTGGGTTTTATGCTTCATGTATGCAAATCTGTATGTAACATATATGCCTCTGTATGTATAAATATGAACACACATGTACAAGACTTTTTCCCCCTTTCTATATACATAGTAGCATTTTCACCCCAAATTGAAGCAATTTTAAGGGGATACCTCCAAGTAGCAACCATCACAGGAAAAAATTGTAGGCCAAAACATTTTCAACCAATAGTTATTTGCCTCACAGCTGGAAAGAAACCACCGAGAGAAGATCAAATTAAAAGTACTGTCTTAGCCCTGGCTGGTTTGGCTCAGTGGTTAGAGTGTCAGCCCACAGACCAAAGGGTCATGAGTTCGATTTCGGTCAAGGACATGGGTCTGGATTGCAGGTTCAATCCTTGGCCCTGGTCAGGGCTGTGTGGGAGGCAACCAGTCGATGTGTCTCTTTCACATTGATGTTTCTCTCTCTCTCTCTCTCTCTCTCTCTCTCGTCCCTCCCTCCCTTCCTTTCACTCTAAGAATCAAAGGAAACAATATCATAGGTTTTCAATTTCTTGCTCTCTTCTCCTCCTGGCATCCCCATAATGAGAATGTTGGTACACTTAAAGCTGTCCCGGAGGCTCCTTACACTATCCTCATTTACTTGGACTCATTTCTCTTTTTGCTCTTGTAATTGGGCGTTTTTTGCTTCCTTATATTCCAAACTATTGATTTGATTTTTGGCTTCATCTGCTCTACTGTTGATTCCCTGTAAATTATTCTTCATTTCAGTTAGTATATACTTCAATTGTGACTGGTTCTTTTTTATTGTTTTCATATTCTTTTTATGCTGTTGAAGTTCTAAGTTCGTTGAGTATCCTTACAACCTGTGTTTTGAACTCTGCTACTAGTAGATTGCTTGTCCCTATTTTGTTTAGTTCTTTTTCTAGATTTTTGTTCTGTTCTTTCATTTGGGACATGTTTCTTTGTCTCCTCATTTTGGCAGCCTCCCTGTTTGTTTCCATGTATTATGTAGAGCTGCTGTCTCCCAGGCTTGGTAGAGTGGCCTTATGTAGCAGGTGTCCTGTAAGGTCCAGTGGCATAGCTTCCCCATTCACCTGAGCTGGGCACTCCAGGTGCATCCCCCGTGTGGGCTGTGTTCACCCTCCAGATGCAGTTGAACCTTGATTGCTGTTGGCACTCAATGGGAGGGATTTACCCCCTGTCTGATTGGCTGTAAGGACTAGCTGTAACCACTGTGGAGGATCAGCTGCGCAGGACCCCTCCCCAAGAAGCAGGACTTACTTTAGCAGGGCTCTGGCACCCATTGAGTCTAGCCCTAGAGTATGACACTTGGGGAGGTAGCTGAGTGGTGCTTCGATATGGCCTAAAACTGTCCAATTGGTGCAGTGGTGCTGGGGCTGCCTGGGAGGTACAAGCCAAGGTTAGCAGATGCCTGTGTTCTGCCAGGGCCATTCGGCATGAGCTACAAAGTGATCTGCAGATGGGTGTTACTTGTTCTGGGCTCAGAGGTGCCCAGGAGAGACCAAGCAAGCCACACATGGGGGTGGGACCAGCCTGCTCTGCGTCTCCACCTCTCCTACCAGTCTCCATGTGGCTTCACCTTTATATCCTTAATTGTAGGACTCCTGTTCAGCCAGATTTCAGGTGGTTCTGAATGATGGCTGTTCTGCAGTTTAGTTGTAATTCTGATGTGTTCGTGGGACAGTGCAAGTGCCAAAATCACCTATGGTGCCACCTTAACTGAAAACCAAGTCCTGCTTTCTTTTATTTATTTTTTAAAATTATTTTACTATAAAAATTTATATAAAATAAGCCATAAACACAATTGTTAAAAATAAAACAAACAGAACTAAGACAGTACATAAAATGTTTCCATGAAAAATAACAAAAACAGCCCTGGCTGGTTTGGCTCAGAGGTTAGAGCATCCGCCTGCAGACCAGAGAGGCCCAGGTTCGGTTCCTGCTAAGGGCACATACATCGGTTGCAGTTTGTCCCTGGCCCCAGTTGGTATCGTGTGGGTGGCAGCCACTCGATGTGTCTCTCTCACATGGATATTTCTCTCTCTCTCTCTCTTCCTCCCTCTCTCCCTCCACTCTATCTGAAGATAAATGCAAAAATGTCCTCCAGTGAGGCTAAAAAATTAAAATAAAAAATAAAAATAACAAAAACCTTATGCTTGAAATTATTCTTTTAGATATACGATGCTTTTTTCCTAGACTTAAAACAGTGATTTCCATTACACTTAATTAGGCTATGAAATATTAAGTATTATTTTATAAAAGACAAACAGATTCTCAAACTCAAGGATTAACAAATACTTGCAAAGGTATCACCAAAATCTTTGAATTTAATAAAATCTTAAGGCCAGAATACAAAATCTACCTGAAATAATCTAACCAAACACCACCAAGTTACTTAAATGAAACTCAGCTTCTGAGATGATATAAAGAGAAAAACTTTAATCTTACTTATATGCGAGATTGGATATACAACTTGTCAACATATTTTTAAAAACAAACCAAACCAGTCCTGGCTGGTTTGGCTCAGCGATTAGAGCATCAGCCCAAGGACCAAAGAGTCATGTGTTTGATTCCTGGTCAAGGACACATACCTAGGTTCAAGTTCAATCCCCAGCTCCCCTCCCCCCACCCCCCGCGGAGTCATGTAGGAGGCAACCAATCCATGTGGCTCTCTCACACGGATGTTTCTCTCTCTCTCTCTTTCCCTCCCTCCCTTCCACTCTATCTAAAAAAATCAATGAAAAAAATATCCTCAGGTGAGGATTAACAACAACAACAACAAAACAGCCATGGTTCCTGAAAACCCTTCCTACATTATATTGGAATTTAAAGGGACTTTTAATAACTTCAAGGTTACATAGAAAAATAAGTTTTTTATTGTTAAAATTACAAATAATTTTTCTTCGGAACCAACAGAAGTTTTCAGTATTAAGTCTAAAGCTTTTAGAGAACAGTTCTCCAACATTAACGCTTTTTTTGTTTCCTCAGTTAAAAAGGAAAGAATTCAGTCTGCAGGCAACACTTAACTATAAAGAATCCACCCCCACTCCCACCCCCACCCCCAAAAGTACCCCTCACAACTCAGACATTAGCTTTCAAAATGAGCTCTTCACACAGCTGTTTTTGAGGAAGAAGTTACTATCTTACTTATTTAAAATCACATTTTATAGTGATTCCATGACAAACTATTATTATTGTTATTTGGATATCTCTGTCTAAACATGTTCTGATGTCACACAAAAGAATAACTGCTAATATCTGAAGCTAAGTCTCAACGTATACAAGGATTTGATTTACATGACCAATGTCAAAGATCACAGTTGATTCAAGTAAGAAGTTCTATACTGATTAACACCATTATTCCACTTTTTCTAAAACCGTGTTCAAGTTTCGTATATAATATTTCAAAGTAAAAAGTTCTAAGGCCTGCCCAGGCGGTGTGGCTCAGTGGATTGAGCGTGGTCCCACAGACTGAGAGCTCCCGGTTGATTCCTGGTCAGGGCACATGCCTGGGTTGTGGGCCTGATCCCCAATGGGTGGTGTGCAGGAGGCAGCTGATCGATGTTGCTATCTCTCTCTCTCCCTTCTTTAAAAAATCAATGAAAGCATATTTTTTTTAAAAAAATGAAGTTCTGCCCTGGCCGGTTTGGCTCAGCGGTTAGAGCGTCGGCCTGCGGTCCGGAGAGACCCGGGTTCAGTTCCCGCTAAGGGCACGTACTTCGGTTGCAGTTTGTCCCCGGCCCTGGTTGGTCGTGTGGGTGGCAGCCACTCGATGTGTCCCTTTCACGTCGATGTTTCTCTCTCTCTCTCTCTTTCCCTCTCACTCTATCTGTACAAAAATTGGAAAAATGTCTTCGAGTGAGGATAAAAAAAAAAAAAATTAAGTTCTAAGGCCTAATAGTCAGGACTGATGGATTTGACAAACAATCATCCATATTTTAAAAAGTCACAAGTGTGTGCTTTCTTCCCCCTTTCTGGACAAAAAGTAGTTTGGAAACATTTGAGGGTATGTATAATGCAGAGAATGACTCCCTCACATAAATCAGTCCCCGGAAGTACAGGATGAGGATGAGTTTTTAGAACTATACCCCGTAAGAAATTTTGTTAAAAATTGTTATACATATCTATTTTTTTTGTTTGTTTGAGCCTCCCTACAAAGACCCCCTCCCCCCAATTTCTACAAATAGCTGTACAAGAAGGGAAAAGCTTTATATCATACAGACACTTCCCGTTTCTTTTTCTTGACCTTCAGTACGGGAGGCAGAGAAACCTTCAAGGCAGTCTCGCAGGCAGTGCAGACAGGGCTGACATTGCAGAATACTGACAAGCACCCAAAACAGGGACAACGCCAGTGTCACTGAGGTTCCGGTGACAGAAGCATGCAGCCTGGTAGTACACATGAGTTTGGGGCAGGAGGATTAGCTGAGATCTCTGATCCTGATCAGGAAGAAAAACCCACAGGAAATCCTGAAGCAGGGAGGGCACCTGAGGCATCTTTAAGTACAGGCCCCTGTGATGTCACAACCTGTTGGAGGAGTCCTGAATCGAAGTCTAAAACACAGGCATCGATCAAAATGTTGTTTCTGTGCTACGGAGATGACATCCATGAGCTTCACATACCGCAGCGCACTGTCTCCTGCAGCCTTCATCGCCAGTGTCCTCGACTTCATTTCCTGATTACCTTTAACCCTTGTTCGTTCTGTGAATGCAGCAGCACTTTGGTAAGGGCTCTGGCCCAGAGTTAATGTATGTTAACCCTTTAGGTAACTTTTAGTCTTTGGATCTTTGATCTCTTCCACAATAATTTCATTTTCTGCTGTCAACAACTTGTACTTCCCATCTTTACTCCCTGAGGGACTGAATTCAGGAGGGTCGCCAGGGTCCCCAAAGAAGTCACCAAGTCTGCCATTCTTTCCAGGATACAAGAATGAGCTTTCCTGAATGTGACTTGCAATTACATCCAGTTTATTGGAACGATTCATGAATAAGTGAGAATTTTTCAGCACCATTACTGCATCTATGCATTTTGATAAAGTAAACTGGGATTTCTTTAATTCTTACTTTCCCCCCAAATTGGGTTGGTAATAACTATGATAACTAGAAGATTCAATTCATCTTCATCTGAGACCATGGTGGCCACTTGTAATCTGTGTCTTCATATTTAAAGTGGCTTTCTTGTAGACTATGAATAGGTGGGTCTTATTTTCTTGTTTTTGTTTTTTAATCTATTCTGACAATCTCTGCCTTTTGATTGGTACATTGAGACCACTGATGTTCAAAGTGACTGCTGATATAGTTGGAGTAATATTTACTGCATATTCATTACTGTTTTCCACTTGTTGCCCTTATTCTTTGTTCCTGTCTTCCACTTTTTCCTTTAGTGTTTTTGTTGTTGTTAATCCTCACCTGAGACTATTTTTTTCATTTATTTATTTTTTTAGATAGAGAGGAAGGGAGGGAGGGAGAGAGAAGCATCGATGTGAGAGACGCACATTGACTGGTAGCCTCCTGCACACACCCCGACCAGGGCCGGAGATCAAACCTGCAACCCAGGTTTGAGCCCTTGACTGGGAATTGAATCTATGAGCCTTCAGTCTGAGGGCGTCTGAGCGCCTCTAACCGCTGAGCAAAACTGGCCAGGGCCCCATTTTTTTTGGTACGTGCCCCTAGCAGGAACCGAACCCGGGACTCTCTGGTCCGCAGGCCGATGCTCCAACCACTGAGCCAAACCGGCCAGGGCCAGGGCCCTTTTAATTGAGTATTTTATGATTCCATTTTCTTAGCATATTGGTCATTCTTCTGTTTTTACTTTCTTTGGTGGTTGCCCTAGAGTTTACCATATGTATTACAACTAATTCAAGTCCACTTTTAAACACTATACCACTACATAGGTAATGTAGTGTAATTACCACTACATAGGTAATTACAATAATGGAATAACCTAATTCTTACTTCTTGTTCCTCGTATCACTGCTGTCATTCACTTCACGCATGTACTTCACTTTTCTACTCTGCCACTCATTCCTGTACAGTTTCTATATGAGGCTCTGTATTCGCTTGTCTCTCCAATCTTGGGGGCAGCTGTTTGCCCTGTGTCCTCTCCTCTCTATGGATCCAAGAAGAGTTATTGATTTTGTCAGTTGGTTCAGCTTTTTACTTGTTTTTAGGACAGGGTAGCAACTTCTAAGCTCCTTAATACATGGAACTGAAAGCTACAGAACTTTGAAAAAGATGCTGATAACTAGACCAATCTTATTCCTGAAGTCTTTCAGATTAAGCATTTGACTCAAATCCTGGCAATCTGATTAAACCTTGGCCACATGTAGCTCTCAGCTGCTCAAAACAAAGCAGTCTGCATCCTTCAACATGCCTTGGGATTAATGAAGGAATAAAATGATAGTTGTTTTATTTTTCGTGTTATAGGCTGAGAGCAAAAAGGTGCATGTTCATCTTATATCCAGTTTACACAGAATAGTATGTGAACCATAATAGGAATGTACTGCTTACTGAATGAATAATTTAATAATAAAAAGCTCTAGATTCCTCTCTGCCCCCACCATGAAGGAATTCTGACAGGTAATCTTGATAAGTCATATATAGTATAAAAATTAAGAAAAAATACTAAAAATATTTACTTTTCAAACTTGGAAATGCCCTCTAAGCTCCTCATCAGATGAAAGACAGACAAACTTGATTACTAAGCCTCTTTGAAGCCTGTTTCTACACCTGTAAAAGAAGATAATAATAATCAATAGAAACTATGAGGATCAAATGAGATTATAAATATAAAGTTCCCATTATAGTACTGACATATAGTATACACTCAATAAAACGTTATTTTAATGTCATTATTATTGGTGTCATCATCAATATATCATTATTATTATTTTTTTATTCTCACCCGAGGACATTTTTGCTTTTCTCTTCTGACAGAGCGGGAAGGAGAGAGGGAGGAAGAGAGAGAGAAACATCGATGTGAGAGAGACACATTGACTGGCTGCCATCCACACAACCCCAACCAGGGCCGGGGACAAACTGCAACTGAGATACGTGCACTTAGCAGGAACCGAACCCAGGTCTCTCTGGTCCGCGGGCCAACGCTCCAACAGCTGAGCCAAACTGGCTAGGGCTCATCAATATATTATTAAACCAAAGCCTGGGAAGCCTCTTCAGCTGGACTTTGTTTACTGAGTAAAGGACCTTCTCTGACATGGTAAGCCATCAGTGTTGGTCGTTTTCTGTTCTCTGATATTACAGCACAGAAAATAACATGCTACAGCAAGAAGGCCAAACAAACTATTCAAAGTCAAATATCTAAAAGACCTGAGGGTCAAAATAACAGAAAAGCTATGAATAGTGGTTAGTCAGTAACAATGAACTCAAAGGACTGCAGATAACTATTAACTCCCGAAGTCACAGCACTAGTGAACTCACCATGTCACCTCCCACCTAATAAACCCCTTTGTCATCTGGATAACTTTATCTCTTCCTCTTCCCCTTATTTTCCTTTCTTTTTTCCTCCACCTGCTCCTGACACTCTACTATTCTTCTCTGAGTCCCTTTCCTCTCTCTTTTTTACCAATCAGAATATAGAATTAAATCCTATCCTTAGTACTTATTACATTTTTCAATAAAATGAACACAGGTTTTAAAGACAGAAAATCAGGATTTCTAATAATAAAAAACACCAGTTCTAATAATTAGCTGTGTAATTTAGGTAACCTAATTAAACTAAATACTTCAGTTTTCTCAAATGGAAAATAGAGATAATAATAGCATCTTCACATGGTTATAGTAAGAAGTAAAATTAAATAAAATTAGATGTATAAATTGTCTAGCCTAAGACCTGACACACAATAGGCCTTCCATAAAGTTAATATCTTTCTTGACTTCTCTAGGAAAATGTTACCTAATCTCTGATTATGTCTTCTACAAGTCAGTAGCTCTTATCAGAAAAGGAGACCCCCATCCCTTGCACATATTTCCATCTATTTTATAGATACAGATCAATTTATCCATTATGGTACAGACAATGCCTCCATCTACAGAATTCTACACCACACTGATGTAAACACTCCTTATTTTGGGTAGTCTCCTTGACTTTAAAAATAAGTTGAAACCCAAATTTAAATAAACTCTAGAAACACAAAGTAATTAGTGATAATTATAAGCTAAGCAGTTAAGAGGTACTTAAACATTCCATATAAAGCAATAAATTAAAGCTATAACACAATATTTTTAAATTGCCTTGAAACTGCTTCAGTAGTTTGGGCCGTGTGAGAAGTTAATGAACTACTTCATAGGAGGAATTGTTCCCATGTTAAAGTCTCAATACGAGGTCAACTGCCTCTTCCAACTCATTCTACCATTTTTAACCTCATATTGAGGTTAAACCTCATTCTACTCTCAAGTGAAATTCTACCCTGGTATCGGGTAGATGTTTATGAAAGCAAAACTGCTTTGGAGAAGAGACATTCACTAGGAATCAGAACAGACTACCTGGTATTTCCTGCGACCAGCCTTCAGACCAAAGAACCAAAGGAAAACTACTTGTGCTCAGAGAGTTCAAATCTGGTGTCACTCAGTCCAAGCCCTTCAACTGCAAGGCTAAAAAGATTAAGTAGACAGAATTTCTTAAGGAAATAAAACAAGGACAATATTAAATTGAAAATTCAAGGAAAAGATAAAGATGAAGTTTTAAGGGCAAAAGAAAACCAACGTCACTACCGAGCCCTAAGGCGGTAAATGGCGCATGGGAGCAGTACCGCACCATAGTACTGAAAAAGAACATCCTTCAAGGGCTAGAAGTACGGATACAGTTTGAGTTTTATTGAAGAACAGCACATTTTCACTGGATTCCTAAAAGGATATGCCATGGCATGCAGTTTTTGTTTTTAAAATTCTTAACCTATAGCAACGAAAGTGGCAGTCACTTTCTAAGCCTAAAGCTCAGAAATGGTCAGTTTACTCTCACTGCCCATCTCCAAAGAATATGAGAGCATTGCAGCCACACGAAAACCCAATAACTGATCTGCAACAGGCTTTTTCTGGGGGTAGGCTACAGTGACCATACTTACTGGAATCCTCCCACTGGAGTAAATGTAGCTTCCATGCAGAGTAATACAAAAATCCCAGTACCAGAAAAAGGCAGAGGGCTAGCAGCAGATTGCGCACAAATACCAAGAGTCCCATCTTCACATGATTTACGATTTCCTACATGACCTAAAAGAAAACACACACAAAACCACAAAATAAAACCAATTTAGGTCTTAAAAGATAAAGCAATAATCTTATTGATACACTCTACCTTAAAATAAGTATTATAGGAGAATTTTCAAATGAAGAACCACTTGGAATTACCAATGAGTTCATGACACAGCACCTTCCCATCTGCTCATCCCATGTCAAGAAACAGCTTCACCAGTCACTCAGCATCCAAGCCAGAACTCAGCAGTCATCTGTGTCCTGCCTTTCGCTCATTCCTGACATTCAATCAATGACTAAATTCTGGTCATTCCAACCTCCCAAATAAGTATCATATCATGTCCCCTCCCCACCATCATTACCCTCCGTCCATGCCACCACTACATTCCCAAAGACAAGTTTCCCTGCCTCCAAATTTGCATTCTCCCACATCCATTTTCCACACAGCACAGGGGTAGTTTCTTTTTTTTAATTTTTAATTTATTAATTTGTTTTTGTTACAGATGTTTCTCATTTTCCCCCCATTGACACTCTCCTCTTCTTCCCCCCCAGGAGTAGTTTCTTAATGGCACACAAGCCAACATTACTTCCCTGTCTAAACCCCTCAGTATTAGTATTCTACTGCTGCTGTTAACAAAGCATCACAAACTTAGCAGCTGAAAATAACACAAATTTATTTTCTCAGAGTTTTGTAGGCCAAAAGTCTGGGTAGAGTTTGGATCAGCTGGGTCCTCTACATGGAGTCTCACAAGGCCAAAGCCAAGTGGTCATCAGGGCTTTCTGGAGACACTGCAGATGAATCTGCTTCCAGGTCCAATGAGGCTGCTGGCCGAATTCAGATCCTTGCAGCTGTAGTGCTGAGGTCACCGTTTCCTTGCGGCTGTATGACAGTCTTTGCTCCTACGTTCCTTCGTGTTTTCCATGTGGTCCCCTTCAGCCATGGTGGGTTTAGTCCCTCTCACTCTGAATCTCTCCATCCCCTTCTACCACATCTTGTTTCTGCTTCCAGCCAGAGAAACTTCTTTGTTTTTCAGGCTCATGTGTTAGATTAAGCTCATTTGAATAATCCAGGATAGCCCTGGCTGGGCGGCTCAGTTGATTGGAGCGTCATTCCATAATCAAAAGGCTGTGCATTCGATACCTGGTCAGGGCACATACCCAGGTTGTGGGTTTGATATATCCCTGTTCAATCTTTGGTCAAGACGCATGCAGGAGGCAGCTGATCAATGTTTCTCTCTCTCACCTGCTCTAAAATCAATTAAAAAATAATAATCCAGGATAACTCCACTAACCCCCCCAGTTTTAAGGTCCATAGCCTTAATTTCATCTGCAAAGTCCCTTTTGCCACTTAAGGTAACATATTTACAGATTCCAGGGACTAAGGTATGAACATCTTTGGGGGGACCATTCTACGTAACATACCTTTTGTTAAATTCTCAATTCCTTTGGAATAAAGTAACTGCTCTTAAAATCCAGCAGCTTCTGACTGCACCCAAATTTACTCTCCAACCCATCTCTTGCTTCTCCCAACCTCATTTATGTCCTATGCTGCTGCCTTTCTTCCTACTCACTGAACACTGCCTCATTGTTTCTCTCCCCAAGGCCTGTCTGGAATTCATTCTCCATCACCCTATTTCACCTGTTGCACACTCTTTGGTACTCCCCTTAAATGTAAAATCAGCCAAGACTTCCCAGGATCACTACTCCCCACCCCCACTCAGATATCTTAGTCATGAGATAACACACAAAGAAAAAATTATGTATAAATATGGCAAATGAAGTGATAAGAAGTTATCATTTGCAGATTATATAACTGTCCACCTAGAAAAGCCAAGAGAATCAACTGTAAAAACATTATAACGAACAGGAAGTAGGTGATTATAAGATTAAATAAAACATTTCTTAAAAACTGTACCAGCAATAATCAATTTTAAAATGTAGGGGTAAAATTCCATTCATGATAGCAACAAAATCTATAAAATATCTAAAAATAAACTAAGGAGGAAACTGACATGACAGATCCAAATACATATAGAGATACAAGAGGTTCCTAAGTGAGAAGATTCAATCATGGAAATATGTCAGTTCTCCTGAAATGTCAGTTCTCTATAAATTCAGTCTAACTCCTGTCAAAACCTATGGTTATTTTTCTTTTAATCTAAATTTAATTCGGAGACTTCATGCCCAAGAGGAGCTAATAATTTTTTTAAGTAAAAGATATTAAGATGAGAATTTGCTTTTCAAGATATCAAAACCAACGGTTGAAACTGAAAGTGGGAAAATGCTCAGAGTGAGGACACGTGAAAAGGCAAAAGAAGCCAGCTCAAGGGGCTAGCCAGTCCTGGAGCATCACACCCACTACACACGAATGTAGTAAATGAAGAGAGAACTCTTCTTTAGAGTAGAATGTAAATTAACAAATGCAGAAGGAATAATGTAATAGAAAAGTCACCATTGAGCAACTGTTTTAGTAATAATTCAGCTAAAAAAAAAATCAAAGGATACAGAAATTAGTGGGTAAAATTCTGGGAAATGGGATTGTATGTAGTCTTAAAGTATCTCCCCACAAGATACTTAATAATTACAGAGAGGAAAAAGTAACTTTACAATGGAGAATTCTAACAGATACTACCATAAACTGCTGAAGATATAATATATAGAAGTTCTTTGTAATATTTTTGCAACTTTTTAAGTCTAAAATTAAAAAGTTAAAAAAGAAAAAAATTTAAATTAAATGCTCAAAGAAATGTTCAAATAAACATCCAAATAAGAAATTATATAGTCACTTAAGATGTTTATAAGAATATTTTAATAATTTCATATGGGAAACACATGATATAATATTGAAAAATATGTTAATATACAAATATCATATACTCATCAAAAAAAGACTAGAATGAAACATAAAACCCTAAGAGATCACTGCTGAGGATTTGTCTGGCTGTGGGGATGCGCTCGCCGTGCTTGCACAGCCATGAAAAGGCACGCAGGCAAAGACCTGCAGCTGCTCACAGTGAGCTCTGCAGCATGGCGAGAACACAGCAACCTGGACTCAGCCCCTCCTCACATATTCATCTCATCTCAGAGGAGGTGTTGCTCTTCTGTCCAAAGCTAACACAGCAAACACTAAGTGCTAGGGACTGTGCAAGGCACAGAGGACACTAAGTCTGTCTTCCTACTTGCTGTTCATTCTTCGACCTGCCATGATCTGATCTGGCTTCCAATTGGCATCTGAAACTGAGAGAGGAGACAGCATGGTGGTAAGAGCCCTTTCTCTGTCTTCTTTGCCTAGCAATGCTAACCCATCTTTTAGGACTCTCAGTTCAGGTCTTACCTCTTTCAGGAAGCTTTCCTTAGCTATAGTCCTACACTATGACAGTCTGTGCCCTCATAACACCCATGTTTACCTCTATCATAGCATTTATAAAACATTTTGTTTTTCTATCTCTGCAAAGAATTAGCATACAATTTGAAAATAGAATCCACAACTTAGGTCTGTGAATCATCTGTATTTAACAGCATAGCATCTAATGCACAGCAACACTTAGGAAGTGTTTGTTTAAAATTAAATGAATTAGCACCAAGAGGTCACCAGTTCGAATCCTGGTCAGGGCAACTGCCCAGGTTGTGGGCCCAATCCCCAGTGGGGGGCATGCAGGAGGCAGCCAAATAATGTTCTCCTTCATTGATATCTTTCTCTCTCTCCCTCTCCCTTCCTCTCTCTCTAAAGTCAATAAAGAAAAAAAATTTTTAATTAAATAAATTAATATATTTCTAATTATATGCCCCAGCTGTAGACATAATTAATACAGTTTGTACACATTCCAAAAATATATATTAAAGGTATAATTGTGTGTGTGTATAAATATAAATTTTAATGTAGAGAAAAGTTTGGGATACTCTGAGGCTTTTTACAATTCTCATTCTACAGATATCCCCAAGGCACTCTAGTTCTACTTCTGTGACTTCATTTACTATCATTATCCCAAACTATATATTCCATCTAGATATCTCCCCTAAGTTCCTCGTCCACTCACTCAACTTCCTACTCTACATGACCTTCTAGATCTTTCACAGATGCCTCAGACTTCCCCTATAAACCTCCTCTTTCTCCAGTGTTCACTATCTCAATAAAAGGCAACACCTTCACAGATGTTTCTGTCAGAAACCTGCCAATTATCCTTGACACGAACCTCCTCACTCTCATCTCACCCTCCAAATATAATCAATTATCATGTCCCGTGAATCTTACCTGTTAAATACTCCTTGAATCCATCCTGCCAGTACCCTATAATCTTTTGCTTGGGCTACTTCTATAGCCTCCTAAGAAGCCTCCCATATCCATTCTTGATCCTCTCCAATATAGCAGCCAATATAAATATACTCTGAATTTCCCACTATCCTTCCAGTAAGTCCCAAACCCCATAACAAGGCATACAAGACTCTGCATGACCTGGCCCCTGCCCACCTCTCCCCCCACATCTCTTACCAGTGAGTAATAGTAGGCACACACAAAAAGGTAAAAAGACAATAATGTACATAAAACTAGGTTATTTTAATTAGCCATAGAAGTAAAATTAATCTTCCCTAGCCAGTTTGGCTCAGCAGTTAGAGTGTCAGCCCACAGACTGGAGAGTCTCAGGTTCGGTTCCCACTAAGGGCATGTACCTTGATTGCAGTTTGTCCTCGGCCCCAGCTGGGGTGGTGTGGGTGGCAACCAGTCGATGTGTCTCTCTCACATTGATGTTTCTCTCTCTGTCTTCCCCCCTCTCTCCCTCCCACTCTGTTTGAAGATAAATGTAAAAAATGTCCTCAGGCCCTGGCCAGTTTGGCTCAGCAGTTGAATGTCGGCCTGCGGACCAGATAGGCCCGGGTTCGGTTCCCGCTAGGGGCACGTACCACAGGAAAAAAAAAAAGTCCTCAGGTGAGGATTAAATAAATAAATAAAATCAATCTGAACTCACCGAAATAAACTCACCAAACTCCTGTCATTTCTAAAACATCCTACACTATGGATCCCCCCACCCCCACAGA